ATTGTATATACATGCAACATATATTTATATATCGACGCAAGGCCGGATCAAGGACAGCATAGTATGCATAAGATATATACATATATTCGTGCCTCTGTTGCACATGTACCAGATACTCGTAAAGAGGAATCGGTTTTGTATACGGATGAGAGACTGCCCCCCAGTCCGATCCCTTGGCTATCATTGCCGTCCTCTGATAATAACGATGAGGGGGGGAACGGAAACCAACCTTTTTTTTTCCTTCTCTTCAATGACAAGCTTGGTTTCACCCACCTGTTAGCCATCATCTTTCTCGGTGGGGATTTTCAAGCCTTCAGTTGTACTTTCGTCGATTGGATTTGCCGGTGATCGAGGTAAAATTTTTTTTCCAAAGTATAGTTCATCGTCCACTGCAGGGTAAACCGATTCTACGTGCACAGGTGTGCCACCCTCCGTGCTCGATGAAAATCCCAATGTTTTTCAAATTACAGAAATTTCACCGGAGACGGGGAAACGCGCTCCGTAGCTTCCTCCCGGAGTCTCATCCATTTATTTATGAGACGCTTTCCGCGCGCACACGCGCATGTATATTATCATACGCGCGATAAGATATTACAAGCGAGAAGGATCGCTCGTGTCCCGGGCACTCACGCACGCGGAGGAGGATAATAAATTTGAAGAGACGATAATTGTACGTGCAAGGGCCGATTGAATACACACCTGGTGCCGGTGCAAAGCTCCGAGGGTCAATTATATTTAATTGAAGCGTCGGCGTTGTTGCGACGAAGAACAATTCAACGAGACCGAAATAGATCGAGGGAGAAAGGTTGTACGGTGATGATCCTTTCAGATGGTATATACACAGCAACTTTGTAATGAGGAACAGGGAGGATGATGATGCATGCACATATAGATACTTTGAATCTGCAGATACACCACCCTCCCTTCCATGCAATGACGATGGAATCTATCGACAACGATCTGATTGGCCGGTCAACTTACAACGTTGTATACATGGTTTATACGTGTTATCAAGGATGAATTGTGGGTATAGCTGTGCAAAAAAATGCAAGCCCGCCTCGATCGCACGTATTATATTCATGTATGAAAAGTAATTCAACCGACAATTAAGAGCATCCTTCGAATCGATAACCACCGCGAGGAGTGTATAATGTTACTAAAACCACACGAGAGGTATACATAGGTGCGCACTTGCTTCCTCGTACATGATCGCGAGCCCGCGCCGAAAAAAAAAGAGCCGAGGCCAAAGAAAGGCTGGCCAATTTATATGTATGCGCAATGGTACGCGTTTTGCAAAAAAAAAAAAAAAAACAAGTGCACTCGTTCCTCGACTCATTGACCATTTTCGGGACTGCCGGCGAAGCGAAGGAGAGTGCAAGTGCAAGAACGCGTCCCCGCCGAAGCGCTCTCGTTTCGCCGTCGTCGTCCCTGAAACCTCGATCGGCTCGTAACGTTGCGTAACATCGAAACGAAGAGGTGCAGCTCTCTTTCTCCGCTTCGCTTTTATAAGGACGTTGCCGGAGGAGAAACTCTGCGTACAAGTGGGTTAGTAGATGATGACGAGTATCGAAAGGCTTACGCAAGGAGGACGAGCGTTACGTGTGCGTGGAATACACAGATATATAAAGAGAGAGAGAGAGAGAGAACATGTAAACGTGTGGTGCGGTTTTTTTGATGGATGTTTTTTTTTGTTTATATAGTTGTATGATTCGCGGGATTTCTCCGACGCTGATAAGCCGGTCTTACCAAATTCAGCTTGTTCTACTTACATCTATTCGATCCTATACTTTTGTCAGCTTTCCATTTATACACGGCAAGTATTGAACAGTTACAACAATGTCCCGAAAATCGTGACCACCGATTGTATCGCAAAGACACCAAAATCATTCAATTAACAGCGAGTGTAAAAGAAAAACCTATAGAGGGAAGCAAGGGGTGGGCAATAAAACCGATTTCTAAACCATAAACGCGTCCACGCCAACAAGTTCCGAGCGTGCAAATAACCCTCGGAAAACCATAAAACCTCAACAAAATCGCAATAAAGTATTCCCTTACGAGGCAATAATCGTCGCGCCGTCTAATTATACACCACACGCGTTAGCAGACTCGACTGTACGCGCTACGCGTGAGACACTTTTTTTTTTTTTTTTTTTTCACGACCAAGCAGTATAAGTACACGTAAGCACGAGTTATACGGGAATAAGTCGAGCAAAGCCAACCAGCGCAGTGGACTTTTACTTTTACGATATATATTACGCGAGGCGGGCGTGGGTAGCGCGCGTTTTTTCTTACAAGCAAGTGTCCCAGTGTAGGTATTGCCGATCCCGCCCACGCGCACCCGTTCCGTCATGCGTATGTCATACTGTAGCAGCATCTTTTTTTTTTTTTTTTTTTTTCAAACCCCAGCTACGTGACGCAACAACCACGAGTCGAGAATCGGTTGCGTTCGCGGACGCAAATTGAAACTTTACTCGCTCGCGACTTATTTTTTCCTCTCCGAGAGAAGCTCTTGGGCGATTAACAGCTGCTGTCGACGCCCCCCTCCCCCCCGTTTCTCTTGTACTATCCATCCCTTGTCGTTAAAACTTTATTCGCGCGTAAAAGCACGACCGCGTGCAGCCATTAAAACCCGACGCATGCAAAATGACTCTTGGCCGCGCGTACGAGAGCTTCAAAATTTTCCGGAAGGCATTTGTCTTGTCGCGATGCGGTAATTAGCCACCGCGCACTATATGCTTACGCACCGAAAAAAAAAAAAAAAAAAAAAAAAAAAAAAAAAAAAAAAAAAAGACATAAAATAAAAGAGAAAACAAAGCAGAGGAAGAAGGAGGAGAAACAAACAAAGCAACCGACCAATTAACAGTCGGATGTAGCGCCCGCAATTTAGTTGCATACCCGCGTGTACTCGCATATATATACGTTTCCTACCGATTAATCTTCAAGCTATACTCTGCAGTGCATCTCGCAGCTATCTGAACTATTCCGTCTGTGTGTGTACAGACAAAGGGGGTGAGAAAAAAAAAAAAATCGCGCAGTAAGTTAAGTACTTGCATAAATCACGATTGCAACAAAGCTTGGAAGCAAAGGGAAGACACGGGGTCGTTTCTGCGACCCTATACGACAACACCACGGCTGGCACGCGTGATATGCGATATGGAGAGAAGACGAGGTGCTTTTTCATTCTTATACGTCGTACAGCCCTTTGTTCACTCTTCGTTCTCCAAAGGCTCGTTCTGGAGGAAAGCCATGCGGAGTTATTTTTACGTGTATACATTTTACGCGCATGTCTTGATGAAAAACACGTATATGAAACGGAGGAGGCTATAGGAAAAGAAAAAGAATCTCAAAGAGGACGGTCGTGGCGTTAAAGTGCTTTTCATTAAACGCAAATGGTACGCTAGTCGTACCTCCAGTGGGAAAAAAAAAAAAAAAAAAAAAACGCATCGTGCGGTGATTGCGCGGCACACGCACCTCGTGTATTTTTAACGAGTTCGCTCATCTTCTTCTTCCCCTTTTTACCCAAGATCGAAACATATAATGTTATACATAACTTGGGCACTTTTTGTCGGCCGAGGGATAACATCGGGTACAAATTCGAGGCGTTACCTCATTCATTACATGCGCGTTACTTACACGAGTTACGACTCGAGCGCGAGATTGCTTGGTTCCTAATATCCTCCTGTGTATTACGCGAGTGACGGCTTCTTCGTATCCGTATAATGTAATGTTGTTATTCGAGCCTCGCTGCTATACTTGAACTTTTTCTTCCCTCAATACTTTTTTTTTTTTTCGGTAAGTATCGGGGGAGGGGTAAGGGGTCAAGGTATAGCTTGTACCGCGGTTGTGACTTTGATCGAAGCATACGTTTCGACAGCTGCGCGAGAAACACGTTTGATGGAGGAAAAAAAAAAAAAAAAAAAAAAAAAAGCATCTTGAAAGGAACGATCGGATGAAACGCCATGCAAAATAATATTACAAGCCATCCCCGAGGACGAGCCATAATTCACGGGGAGCGCGCGCAGTACGTGTAAGAACAGCTTGCCGACAGAGAGCCAAGATAACGCGCAGGGCGCGTCGCGTCGTAAAGAACACACACACACACACACACACACACAACTGCAGATTGCAGCGAAGGAATCTCTCTCCCTCTTTTCGTTGCGCCCATGCAGCACGAGGAACTTGTGTGTACGCCCACAACGTTATACCCATATGTATATAGCGTATATGTACAGGTATCGCGGTGCGCTGGAGTTTTATGATGGCGCGACGTTGCGCTTTATTAGCAATATTTGTCGGACAGTGGGGGGGGTGGGGGTTGTTGTATACATGTACGAGCGGAATATCACTTACCCATGGTCGACCCCCTTACTACTTGTTATTTATATACGGATGCACGCGCGCTCGCGTACATAGTTGTGCGTGATTTGAGACTAGACAGAAACGCGCGTGGAAATACAAATGGAAGATCGGTATGATATCGGGAGTCGGATGATCGAGGAATACGATGTCGTTGACCATTACGGAGGCTTGCCAATGATGCCCCGATGGAGGGGTCCTGCAGGGGTTTACGGTGAAACAACTTGTTGCGTGTAATTTATGAACGGTCGAGTCATCAAGTCCCCCAAAGATTGAAAGATATTTTTTTTATTTTACTTCCTTCAAATCTCACTTACAAGCGAGAGATTTTTATCTCGAGTCGAGCCAAATCAAACAGTAGGTACGTTATGAGGAATGTGCTCGGGAAAAACATATTACGCTCCAGAAACGAAGCACCCCTGGTTGACTCTCGAGCACATGACTCGATTGTTGGATTCTTTCGTGTACACCAACGGAGGAACGTACGTAGATATATTATATAGTGTTTGCCGAGGCTCACCTTCACAAGTTGTACCTCCACGTATATAAATATATACATATACAATTCAAACATTTCGTTCCTACATCACGTTGTAATGTATATAATACAAAGTGCGAAGGGTACATTGTATAAAGTGTTTGAACTACGACCACGGGACCGTATGGAATGTGTCAAACTGGAGACCAACCACACGCTTGACTTTTCCGCATTCCCGGTCGTTCATCCTGCCTTCGGTGTGCTATGATATACAGTGATTTTAAAAATCGTTATTCCCGTTGAGTAGAATAAACAGCTCAGGCTGCCTAACTCGCCTATGGTTAAACGCGCGCTGATGCACATAAACCGATAATTGACCGAGGTGACGTTGGATCGCACACTATATATCATACGATCACCGTTATCAACGCACTCCCCTCCGACCTTTCCTGACATGGAAGCGATTTAATCGTCCATATTTACAGCAGTTGACGTCATTTTCATCTTTCGGGAGCGCACGCATCGTGTCGACAGGATCCGTTATTGCCGAATCGCGCAACTCCCGACACGCTCACCCCCCAAGTGAGTATATTATAATATATAGTGTTTATTGTACCAATGGTGCGGGGTATGATATATGTTGTGTATACACGGGTATTGGTGGTTTTTAACTTACGGCCCAGGGTAATTGTATCTCGTATAGGCAGATAAAAGGTATAGGTACATACGTGCATACCCTTTACGAAAGGTTCGTTCATCCATCCCCCCTAGGGAGCAGCATGCGATGAACCGTACATGCATATATATACGTGTATGCACGATGCTCGTGCAAAACTTTTCCGGGTTGGGAGTTGGGAGGGAGGAAAAAGGGACTAAATTCGTTAAATGCACGTGATGCCCCAAGTAAAAAAGATGAAACACCCACAGTTGCTTCTCAACAACACGCGGGGGATCCGTTATAGGTGCATACGTATATATATATATCTGTAAGGATGTCTAGCTAGGAGGGGGTGGCTTGGGCTCTCCTTCGGTCACATAACGGGGGTCCAGTTGTGGGCGCTCGAGAGTACATATATAAATCCCCTGCAGGAGAAGGAGCCGATCTCGCCGACGCATATCATCGGTTCGCTTCGCTAGTTCTCTCTCTCTCTCTATACTTGTATGTATGTGTGAGTGTGTATAAACAACTGATACATACAGTATATATATATATATATAGTTTACTGCAGCAGCTATATACGGCGCATCGTCTCAGTCTAACGCCCACCGCGCGTGCAGTACTACCTATACACATGTATACTTATATTGGGTGTATGTATGATATAACCGTTGCAAATACTGTACATGTATGTATGTATACACGCGCGAAAATGCCGTCCTTCCGTGATGGGGTAGGTATAGGTACCGCTAGGCCGTGCAACATAATATTGTGTAAAGGTATAGATATAGGTATACATCATATCACCCTACCGTTGCTTTACATTTTCTCGTACAACGGGAGGATAATATTTCAGTATGGCTGTACCCAGCTGTACCTACTTACTGATTATTGTATACTTACTGATCGATTCGCACTATTTTTTTTTCAAATTGATAATCGCACGATTCGTTTCTCACCGCGTTTCAATTTGTTTCAAATGTACCATACGACGGGTGTTTTATATATATAATAGAATTTGTTGATTAAATTTTTTTTTTTTTTATTCTCGGCAAAACACTTATCTCTATCAAGAATTTGGAATAATCAACGGGGCGTAGGTACCTACAGGTGATTTTGGATAAACAATAATTCGAGGCGTACAGGTAATGTATATTATTACGTGTATACTGACTCGGTCGAGAGTATAAGCACAAACAAACAACTGAAAATGATATACATCGGCACCGTCATCGCGACTTTTTTTTTATCATTGTATATACATACTGTGACGGTGAGATACCGTCGAGCCATGATCGGTAGGCTAGGACCGATAGGGAAAGAAGGAAAAGGGAAAAACGGAGAGGACAGTTAGGAAAGAATGAAAAGGGAAGAAAAAGCCGAAAAGGGATCAGATTAGCTTGGGCCAGCGAACGCGCGTGAAGCGAATTTTTGTTTTGGAGGACGTGAGACACGTCCTCTGGAGTGTTTCCGTTCCTGCGATTGTTGTCGTGGCGGCTGTACTTGAGCTGTCCCCGGTACAGTGTTTGGTGCTGAGTGTCCGGGTCCTGCTGGGATAGCAGACGACGCCGGACTCAGGGTCACCGAGGCCGATACCGTCGATCTCGGCCTTCGAACGCTGCCAGTAGGGACGCCTACTGACCTCAGCGTAACCGCTCCACTGCTCCCGTGTAGACTTGGCCTGCGAGAGGCATCGTCGGGGAGCGACCCCGCTTCGCCGTAAGTACCTGCCAACAGGCAGTTTATTGTAAAGGGCAGCGGCCCTAGATTAGCCCGCGTTGTCTGCCCGGTTCGCGTTTTCGCGCCGCGAGCACGTCGAGCAAGCGCGCTCGACGTGCGAGAATTAAACACACACACGCACACACACACACACCC